ACTTATGTTATTTCCAGCACCTTCTTAAAAACACAAACAGCACCCTGTATAGAACCCTACCACTTGACGTTCCCCTCCAACTACTTGCTTTGGAACCGCTTCTTCCTGCACCAGCCGCTTCTGTACTCCAAAACCAGCTGCACGTTCTCCGCTCTGCCGAGCGGCCTCCACGCAAACTGCTGAGGGGGAATATGGAACCCTACCACTTTACGTTCCCCTCCAACTACCAGGACCTTCCAAGTCCGGTGGTTGGAAGGACACCCCGGTCATCACCACGTGGCGAGGCTATTTGCCAGACACCTCGATCGAGATCAGTGTCGGGTCCTGGTACTTGCACCAGGAACCGCTTCGAAACCTGCACGTTCTCCGCTTCACCATGTACTCCAACACCGGAGTAGCATCTCGTTCCACCGCTCGTTCACCGAGCGGCCTCCAAGTCCTCCGGCTCCATCGGCGCCATGGGCACACCGGGGGGACGGGGCTGCGTGGGGGTCGTCGTGGGGGGCGGAATAAGGCCTTGAAACCAAGAACCACCGGAATAGTCGATCGATGTATACAAGATACTTAGTTCAAGTCCCATGGAGTGTCTGGCCATTGATATATTTATATCTATCTATCGGTTCAAAAAGAGATTGAACCCCCCTGATGTAACACGGCTCTTGTCTTCTATTTGTGAGCTGTATCGATGCCTTGTTGGTCGTTTTTGCGTGTATCCATGTAGAGGATCGGATGCAGCTCCGTAGACAATGAGACGCTTGATCCATCTTGATGTGAGCTGAGAGGCGTATCATGCAGTGATTTCACTTGGCACCACAGCGACGGTGTTCCGTCACGTACTCTCATGCTCATGCTGCCCAAAGCGGGGGGGGGCTTTCCGTCTTTCGACCACGGGCCAAGGTGTGTGGGGCTCCACCCATTTGCCCGGAACCCCGCAAAAATTGAACACACCAGGAGTCACATTGGAGGGCCGTGGGGTGAGTTTTGCTTCGTCCCGGCGAGGGCCGTGGTGTGGGGCACCTCGAGCAAGCGCCACATGTGACAACGGAAGCACCTCGACGAGGGGAGCGGACCTTCCATTCGGCCGTGACCGGTCGAGACCAATGGAGCGGAGGTGGAGCGAGACCGTGTGGGCATGGGCCCCAAAGCTGGACGGTCACCGTATGGAAAAGAGAGCTGACCCCTAGAAGTCCAGTTCGACTATATTTTGACCAGCTGAAGTAAAGGATGTTCCGTTTCAGTTCCCCTAGTCAGACCATTCTTTTTATAGTCGACTGGACTCCCAGGGCGACCGACCCCTGCCCGACAGGCATGACACGTGGCACACGGAGGCCGAGGCAGAGCACGGACTTGGCAGAGCACATGAGGCTTCGGAGCTGCGCTGCGATGCTTGGACAGGCACCAAATGTTGCCAACTCCACAGGCGATCGTGACCATGGTTGACCCAAAGCGATCAACAACTCCCTAGGGCTCCAAGTACCTCCTCAGAAGGTATTTGGACCCTCCAAACCCACCCCAAACACCTTCTGAGAAGGTACTTGGAGCCCTAGGGAACTCAACAATGGCAACAAAATGGCAGAGCACGTGCCCAGAGACCAGAGGTGGTGCCGAGGGACTAGCCCTGCCTTTCTGAAGAGCGGGGCCACGGGGCACAAAAAAAACAAGCCCCAAGCCCATTCAATTGGTGGGAAGGATGCACCAAGATCTAAAAAATCAGACCTTTATACAATAGTTAACTAACTCTTGGATGCTTTTGCTGAACTTCAATTCTTTGAATTTGCACTCAAGACACCAATGAGCGCCTTTCGCACCACCGCATTTTGGTTGGACGTTCCAAAGCTCAGCCGTCGCGAAGCTCGGCCCAGCTCAACTGATGGACACGCCCAAAGCTTCAGCCGCCGCCTCCATGCGCCTCACAGCCGGTGACGGGAGTGGACAATCGGCTGGAGCCCAACATAAGCTCACTGACCCTGCCGCTTTTTTGGGGCGGTGGGATCACAGGTGTTTGGGGTCAGGGTTCCCCAGGTGTGGTGTCCTTACGGTAAGTCTTACGAAGACCGGCGACGTGAAAACCAACGGATTTCACTAGCGGATGTCCTGGACACTGGACCAACTCTGCACTCCGATGACTGAACACGCGCGCGCGTAGGGCTAACAGCGTGCGTGTTGGTTGTGTGTGTTTGTCCTCTACCTCTCGGGTGAGAGGGGCACCTCTGGACACTGGGTACCATGCCCATCCCGACCTGATTTCGAGGCCCCAGAATCACCCGTTGTGCCGGGCCGAAGAGTGCCGGGGTTGCCAGCCCCTCACTGCCCATTCCACAAGAAGCACAAAGCTGCCGGAGTCACCGGAGTCCAAGCTGCCCAAGAACGGAAGCGAAAACAGAGCTTCCATCCAACATCAGTTGCCACGGTTGATCATGTACTAAAATGGCAAGGCAAAGGCCAAAAGCACACAGCTGCTGAAGGATTGGGTCCAAGTAAAAACACACACATGTTCATCATATGTTCTCTATTCCAGAAGTGACCAAGGGGGTGGATTTTTGTCCCATCCAGTGAGTGGATGTGACAGGGGCACCCCGACTTCCTCCCAGTTCGGCACCCCGGTTGCCACGTGACTCCTGGTTGTTCCTTTCGCAGTTGCCACGTGTTGCCACCGTCCAGGGTTCCGAATGACCCACCGACCGACCCCCCCCCCGGACCCCCCCATCTGCGGTCCCAGCGACGACAGCGGAGCGGCGCCACGGATGGCACGACGCGGGCGCGGCACCTGAGCGAGGCCACGGTCCGACCCGGGACGTGGACCCAAATCCTGAGGGGCGAGGTCTGGGGTCACTCCAACTCCACTTCTACCAAAACCTCCAACTCCCCAACCGGGACCCGCCGCCCCCCCCACCTGCCCCCCAGCCAAGCAGCCGAAATCGGCTCCCCGGCGAAGACCCGCTCGGCATCCTGCAGCGCCCGGACCTCCGCCTGCGGCGCCCGCGCACCGATCGTGGGAGAGATTCGACGTTGCTTAGCACCTTCGGGGTCACCTGGCCGGAAGCAGGGGGTTGCATTGAACACCCCTTGAAGGTCCAGGTATAGGTCTTCCAACTGTGCAAAATGTCTGCCGAACTTGGCTGATGGTAAAATCAGCCGTTCCATGTGGCCGTGGATGTGACAGGGTCACCCTTAGTCCTGCAAGTTCGGCATCCCGGAACTGCATGGCCCCTATGGGCCACCAACCAGGAGCCTTATGGGCGTAAAGAACCGTCTCGGAGGGTTGAAACGGCTGAAGCTCCTTCTTCCAAACGATGGCGGGCGGCTAAAAAGCCAAACCTTCTCCTGAAAACCTCATAGAGCAGCCCTCCCACAGGTCTCCGAAATGGTGGCTGAAATGAAGACTTGTTGAAGTGGCAGACCTGTTTATCATCGGGTGCTGGTATAAGTACCCTGCAGGACTTTCTTTCGCCCGGTGGCTTTTTGGACATCCCTTATATCACCCCCATCTTGCTGTCCGGGAACCTGGAAAAAATACGAGGGCCCCCTTTTAAGGGGTAGTGAATGGATACCCCCTCCGTCGAGTCGGCTCTGCCCGGTCGGATGCGGATCGGAAAGCCGATGTCCCGCGGCCCCAGCGCTGCCCAGTGTCTGTTCCTCTGCCAGCGTTGTGGTGAAGACATCAGATGAGCCTCCTCCGTTTGGGGTGGGCACGACCGTCAAAGGCATCACGCCCAATGTGGGCCACTGAGTCTGGCATGGTCAAGTTCACTAAGGAGCTGCAACGCAAAAAGGCATAGTCCCCAATGTGGGTCACTGAATCAGGGATGGTCAAGTTCGCCAAAGAGCTGCACTCCCGAAAGGCACCATTGCCAATCTGGGTGACCGAGTCTGGGATGGTTAAGCTCCTCAAAGAGATGCAACCGTCAAAGGCATACCGCCCAATGTCCGTCACTGAGTTCGGGATGGTCAAGTCTACCAAAGAGCTGCAATCCTGAAAGGCTTGGCTCCCAATGTGCGTCACTGTGTTTGGGATGGTCAAGCTCGCCAGGGAGCTGCACTTCGTAAAGGCCTTAATCCCAATCTGGGTCACTGACTCTGGGATGGTCACGCTTGCCAAAGAGCTGCAATTATGAAAGGCGTGGTCCCCAATGTGGGTCACTGAGTTTGGGATGGTCACGTCCTCCAAGAAACTGCAATCCCGAAAAGCAGCCTCTCCAATGTGGATCACTGAGTTTGGGATGGTCACGTTCTCCAAGGAACTGCAA